GACCCAGCAGAGGGGACACTGAGGGAGGTGGGGACCCAGCAGAGGGGGCACTGAGGGAGGTGGGAACCCAGCAGAGGGGACACTGAGGGAGGTAAGGACCCAGCAGAGGGGACACTGAGGGAGGTGGGAACCCAGCAGAGGGGGCACTGAGGGAGGTGGGGACCCAGCAGAGGAGACACTGAGGGAGGTGGGGACCCAGCAGAGCGGGGCACCGAGGCGGATGTTGCTGAATGACAGACCTATTTTTTAAGCTATGTGGTAAGGATGCAGATATTTGTTATTACAAAAACTCAGGCCAGGTGTAGTGGTGTAGACCTTTGGTCCCAGCACTTACGGGGCAGAGACAGGCAGATCTCTGTGATCTATAGCCTGGTCGACATAGTGGGTTCCAGGACAGTCAAGGCTACATAGAGAAATCTTGTCTCAAAAAGCAAAAGGAAAACAAAGAAACAAACAAACAAACTCCAGGGGCTGGGGTTGTAGCTCAGTTGGTGGAGTGCTTGCCTGACATACACAAAACCCAGGGCTCATCCCCAAAGATGCATAAACTGGGTATGCTGGTGCCTGCCTGCATCCAGGCACCAGGCAGATGGAGGCAGGAGATGAGAAGACTTGTATCTTTAGTTATATATTGAGTTCTAGGCCAGTCTGGGCACTATGAGACTTGGTCTCACCTGCCCCACAATCCGCCAATGTACCTATCCTAAGAAATATATTCCCATGGGGCTAGAGAGATGAGGACCCAGGTTTGTCTGGTTCCTAGCACCAACAGCAGGGTGGCTCAAAACCTCCTGCAAATCCTGTTCTAGGAGACAATGCCCTCTGGCCTCCGTGGACACCTGCGTGCATGGGCTGTGCATAAAATCCATGCAGGCACATACGCATAAATAAAAATATTAAGTGAATTTTAAAAAGAAATGTGTTCTGTTTGTGTGTGTGTGCATGTGTGCAGAGGTCAGAGGTCAGGGTCCTCCTCTACTGCTGTCCATCTTATTGTTTTTGAGACAGGGTCTCTCATTGCAACTGAAGCACATAGATTCAGATAGTCTGGCCAGACGGCTACGTGCGGGCTTTTCCCAACGGAGTCATCTCCCTGTCTCAGGTAATATATTCCATCTGGAAAATATGTCATCGCCTGTCATCCTAACTACTCCCTGGGAGGCTGAGGCAGAGGCTAGCCCGGCCAACCCAGCAAGATTCTTGTTCCAGTAAATAAACAGAAGGCTGGGGTGTGGGGTTCAATCTACAGCGACCGCTTAGCGTATTAGAAGAGTGAAGCTCAGCCAGATGTGTAACGCGAATTCTACCTGGTCTCGGATATTGGGGTGAAAGCTGAGAGGTCAGAGAAGTAGCGCAGCCAGCCACGTGAGTGTTCTCACCTCCACCAAAGGGGCGAGCGCCACATGAGTGTCCTCACCTCCACTAAAGGGGCGAGCGCCACGTGAGTGTTCTCACCTCCACCAAAGGGGCG